AAATGGGACTTTAAGCTAGTAGAGTAGGCTAAATTAACGTTAATTAGTACTAATTAGTCAATAATCGGAAGGAAAGAACAAAAATGTTTACATATTTTCTCGTAGTAAATATTCTCCACACATTTCTCTATCGATCTAGGCAAGAACCAAGCTTTTGTGATGAATGGAGAATGGACAGGAATTTTTTTAATAATAACCCCGTGCTCAAAAATTTAACAACATTTTTTTAAGTAATCAATTTTTTTCTCACCCAAATAACGTCAGTAAGCCGAAAAAACTTCAGGACATATACTTCAAAGTGTCCTCTACAAACTGGGAACGCTAGAGAAAAATCTAAATGGGGGGACCCCCCCTTAAAATAGTGCTTTTTACCTTTTGCAAAGCCTATAATATCCGACTGGTGATGCTTTCTATTTAAATAAAACTGGTTAAATTAAAACACTGCACGAAAAGCACTTAGGTTACAGTATCCAAACCTTCACCATAAAATCTATATGTAACAGGAAACTTACTCTGTTAGTCTGAGTCTTTCTTTATCCAAGTCTATTTTCTCAGAACCATACAAGTTATTTTCAAACTTCAAATTTCCAAGATCATTTCATATGATTTTAACAGTTCCTGGAAACTAGACTAAGAAGATAGTTAATTGATAGAATAAATTTCCATCTACATGTAGATTTTATAACCAAAATTTGGATTTCTGTAGTTTAAGTGCTTTTCGATATCTTAGAAAATCAGTTTTCATATGATTTCTTAATGGCGATAAAAAGACAAACTTGTCTGTTTTTGAAGTAAAATGAGAAAAACGAAAACTAAACAAAGTATATCTTTCTCTTTCACGCTCTATTAACAGAAAAGTCCACAGCATTTATTCCAAAACTTCTAAGTACTGAACTGGTTTTCCTTCTACCGAAACTACCATAAACTTACCATCGTTGTTGTAACAAAACTATTTCGATATTTTTCATCGAGTGAATAAAATATTTTTCTTGCATCATTCACTAATCCAGAATGACCGCATGCATTTAAAACAACACCAAATGTCTCAAAAACTGGTTTCACATTGTCCTCTTTCATCTTTCTAAATAATTTCAATGCATCATAGCCTTGACCAACCAAACCCAAACTATTTATCATTGCATTATAGGTCATTACATCATGCTCAAACATCGAATCAAATATTTGTTTAGCCTTATCAATATCACCAAATTTACCATACATATGAATCAACGTAGTATTAACCCTAATATCATCCATAATTTTCTTATTATTTCTTATTTTCTCATAAATTAAAGTTCCTTTATGTCTTGATAAGCACATACCACACGCACTAATAACAAGCACATATGTCACATTATCCGGCTCGATTTCTTTTCTAATCATTTCTTCATATAATTTAATTGTTCTTTCTGGAAGCTCATTAACATTATAACACTTCATCATCGCACCAAATGATACAACATTACGTCTATTCAATATTCTCGTGAATATTTCTTCAGCTCGTTTCACATCACCCATTTTGCCATACATATCAATTAATGCTGTTTGTATAACCAAATTATTCTC